GAAACGGAGGAGGAGAGGGACGGAGGGACGGAGGGAGGGACGGAGGGAGGGACGGAGGGAGGGGGAGGGGGAGGGAGGGAGGGAGGCACGGAAAGGAGGGACAGAAAGGAGGAGGAGGGAGGGACGGAAAGGAGGGACGGAAAGGGGGAGGGAGGGAGGGAGGGACGGAAAGGAGGGAGGGAGGGGGAGGGAGGGACGGAGGGAGGAGAATTGGAAAGGAGGGACGGAGGGAGGGACGGAGGAAGGGAGGGAGGGGGAGGGAGGGAGGGAGGGAAAGATGGGATGGAGGAGGAGGAGGAGGAAGAAGGGAGGGAGGGAAAAACTACAAGGAGGAGGAGGAGGAATAATAATAATAATCATATGATGATGATGATGATGATGATGATGATGATGATGATGATGATGATGATGATGATGATGATGATGATGATGATGACGAATATTCAGAATAAGAAGAATCATACTAAGCTTGATGATATGAATACCGCTACGAATAATAATCATAATTAATTAGTTGGGAGTTTTAGCAGTAAACGTAATAGTAATATTGCGAAGATATGTAAAACTAATAATAGCAATACGCATGATAATAATAGTAGTATTAATAATAGCCATATCAACACGAATTGCAACACGAATAGTAATACTACGAGGAACAATAATCAGCATAAGCATAATGCTAAGAAGGGGAATAATAATGAGGAACATTTGAAACATAACAAGGAGAAGACGAACCACAATAAGTATAGGAGGAGAAGGAGGAGCACAACGAATAATAATAATATAAGCACAGTAAAAAATGTTACTATCAGTAATAGTAAGTATAATAAGAAGAAGGCGAATAATAGATGATGCTGACGATGATGATGATGATGATGATGAGGAGGAGGAGGAGGAGGAGGAGGAGGAGGAGGAGGAGGAGGAGGAGGAGCCGACGTTCCCACCCGCAACGCCGCCCCCCCTCACCCGAAACGTCCCCCCTCGGAGCGCCGCTCCTCTCGGCGGGCGGCCCGCGGCGCGGAGATACTCCCCTTCCCGCCGAACGACAGGCAGCGCTACTGCCCGCAGGCCGCGGCGGGAAGGGCGGCGGCAGTTCTCGGCGGTGTTGCAGCCTCGGGATGCGCTCCGGCAGCTGGCGCCTCGTTGAGAGCGTTTGAGGGGGCTGCCAGGATCGTTCCGGACGGCCACCGCAGAGCCGAGGCGTGACCGAAAAAGCACCAGGCGTCCGGGAGGAACGAATGGCCAGCCCGGGGGGAAGTGAGAACACGAAAACGAGACGAAAACGAAAAACACCGTTTAGCTCGAGCCCTGGTGGAACGAGTGGCGGACGAGGCAGGGACGAGTAGGGGGGGGGGGGGAGCGGGGAGAGGAGAAGTAGACGATGAAGGTCCAGGCTCCCCGTTTCGGCGGCGAGCCCAAGGGGAGAGTGAGAGGGGGCGGTCGGGAGCCATGAGACGGGGGCCAGTGCAAGCGGGGGTCAGCCAGCGCGCTGGATCTTGCAGGATCCTGCAGCGCCAGGGGTGCATTGACCCGGACTAGGGCGCAGGATCCTGCAGGATCCTGCGGGGTCGCCCGGCTGACCTGGGTTTCGATTGACCGAGGTCATGAGTCATGAGATTTCCGAGGCGGGTCTTCTCAGAAGGCTCGGAAGTCCCCCAGCCTTCTGCGAAGTTTTTCTAAGCCTCCCCCGACGACGCAGAAGACCAATCAGAGGGAGGGCTTCTGAGAAGCCCCGCCGCCTTCTGAGATGGCTCCTTCTCACTTCCCCCCCTCGCTCGCCGCCGGTGGAGGGGGCGCGCTGGGGCGCGCCGCGGCCTGGGCCGCGCGTGCGCTCAGCCAGGTTTGGGTTCGCAGCTTTCGGCCTTTGGGGGCCCTCGCCCGGCCCTGGGGCCGTCAAAGTTCACCGAGCGCGTTCCACTGCTCGCAAAGTTCCCACTCGCAAGCGTCCGACAAAAACACATGCCTTCCTCTGTGTAGTGGATCGTGAATCCCTGGCGGCGGATCCAGGCCATTTGCGAGTAGTTTCTTTGCGAGTAGTGGAACGCGCTTGTCTACGAAAGGACTCGGGATGGAGAGCCGGCCCTGGGGAAAGGGTCCAGACCTCCGGGGATCCGGGTCCAGACCTCCGGGGCGTCGGATGTCTGGGTCAGCCCAGGCTTCCCAAACGGGGTTTCGCGTAGGGTCCTGAGGGTTTCGCGTAGAGTCCTGCCCCTTGCGGGCCACCTTGACAGGACTTCACTTCACTTCACTTCACTTCCCAAACGGGGTCGGAGTGGATGGGGTCGGAGGATCGCGCCGCATCGCCGATGCATCGGCGGTGCGGCTCGATGGGGAGGCCGATGTTTTTCCACGCCGACGCCGTCGATGCATCGCCGACGTTGCCAATGCATCGGTGATGCATCCACGATGTGGCGCGATCCTGCGACCCCATCTGCTCTGACTCTGACCCCACCTGGGAGACCTCTAGTGGCGAAGCGTCCTGACTTGCCTTAGGCCCCCAAAACAATGCTCTAAGAACTCTCGTGTGGTTTACACCGAGTGTTCTGAGCGCATAACTGGCTGAGAGAGTCTTGTGTGAATCCATCGTTGTTTCCCCCAAACAGTGCTTGCACGTAGGGGTTTTTATTCCTCTTCGAAGAATCTGGGCCTGCGTGGCGGTCTGGCGGCTCGGTGCTCGTCGTCGCCGCCCCGTCGCCGCCCATCGTCTCGGCCTGGCTGGCGGTCTGGCGGCTCCGTGCTCGCCGTCGCAGCCTCGTCGCCGGCCGGCGTCTGGGCCTTGCTGGCGGCCCAGACCGTGGTCGCCGTGGTCGCCGTTGCCGCACCATCGCCGCCTGGATTGCACAACATACATTCTCCTTCATTCTCCCTTCCAAAACAAAATGCACTCTACCCCCCCTGGGTTTATCGACCCATCTCGACCCCCTTTTTTCGTATTGCAATTGACATAAGATTCTGCCCCATCGTCCATCTTAAATATGAATTCGTACCATCCCAGCCAAGCTGGTATGGACCACCCCCCCGCCACCCTCCGCACAAAACATTATGCGCGCACATTCGCTGATCAAAAATCATCAGCTGTCAAGAACCCTTTTGCAACATGGGACGAAGTGCACACGTGCGCGTCGTCGCGCGCGCATGCCGAAATCCTTCAAAACCTTAGGTTTCGGAAGGATTTCAAAATCGAGTGTCCAATGTCCTGTTTAGATTAAGCAACAGCCAACTACGACTGTGCCGTACCTCTATTGGGGCTCAAGCTCTCTGATCCCCAATGCCCTACACCTGGGGTCTGGAGTACTGGGCTGAGTCTGCCGCCCAGAGTCTCGCGCACGCCTCTTCATGTGCGCTGGTGGCTTGGGCAAGCAAGACCGAGTGCCCCACCTGTAGCCCAGTGCTCCACTGCGACTGCCCTGCCGTCCACTTTGACTGCCCGGTCTGCCCCGCCGTCAACTGCGGCGACGTCATCAAGCAGAAACCCGCCCGTTTCTCGTTCGGCGGCTTCTCGTTCTGGCTCGCTTTCCTGTTCGTGGGCTTTCTGTTCGGTCGCCTATCCCTTGCAGGGGCCCGCCGGGGCCCAGTCGCGTCGTCAGAGCAGACGGCGGCGGTCGAGCACCTGGGTGCTGAGGGTCAGCCCGTGGCGGAGCAGGCCCGCCAGCAGCTCGAGGCGGTCGCCCTGAAGAGACGCGCGGCGACGGCCAATCACCGCGGTCCTGAGTCGTACTGATGGCGCTCGCGGGCACCAGCCTGGGTGTCTACACCACTCTGACCCCAGACGACGACGACTACGAGGAGGACGCCAGCACCCTGGCCGACATCCTCGAGGCCGCGCGGCTCCCCCACGGTGCGCAGGGCGGCCCACCCCCTCTCATCGCAGGCGCGGCCGCCCTGGCCCTGGCGTGCCGTTTCAGAGCGCTGCATCTGCCGGGACGGATGGTGGCGGCCCGAGCTGCTGGCGCTGCGAGACTAGGCCATCCCGCCCCTGCGAACCCGTTCGTGCTGAACGTGGCGGGGCGCCCCCTGGCGGCGGGCGCCGCCCTGGCTGTGGCCGCGGGCGGGCTCGACGAGGCCGCTTCTTCGTGGTTCGCTACAAAGTGCCCGGGCCCCCTTATGGCACGAGCGGGTCGTGGTCTACCGGCCCGCGGTGGCTGCCTCGGGGGCGCCCGCGCCGGGTGGCGGGCTCGCGGCCTTGGCGGCCGCCATCGGCGGCCCTAGCGCCATTCCAAGGGCCCTCGTCGCACCGCTGGCGGCGCCCGCGCCCGGCCCCGCGGCCGCGGCGCCTGCGCCTGGCCCCGCGGCCGCGGCTGCCCCGCTAGGCGCGCTAGTGCCAGCGGCCCTGCTGGCGGCCGCCGGCGCCGCCGGGCCGGGCGCGGTTGGCGGGGCCCTGGCGGCAGCCGCTGCCGCGCCCGCTGCGGCCCCCGCGGCGGCGACCCAGGCGGGCTTCGACCTGAGGGTGCTCGCGGTGCTGCGGGACCTCCAGGGCGTGCGGTTGCGAGAGCTCAGAGTTCAGGCTGTGCGTCGGCCTCTTCTCGGTCGCGCCCTTCGTGGACTGGCCAGTCCGCGGCCCTCGGACGTTGTTCTGGGCGTGCAAGTTCATCGCGGCCAACAGAGGATCGCCCGACAACCGCTGGAACGCTGAAGCGAAGCTGTCCGGCTGCGAGCCGGGCGTCGAGGAGCATCTCCAAGTGTGCGTGGCGCTCGAGACGGCCGCGTGCTACGACCGGCTCAACATCACAGAGATCGCGCCCTTCGAGATGCTCGGGCGGCCCCTCCAGGTCCAGCGCCGTGACCGCATCGCGGGCCATGAGGACAGGGTCGACTGTCGGGAAAGTGCCGCTCCTGCTGTGCCCTGGACGACTGGTTCGGATTGCGGCCGCGCTCAGGGACCACCTCCTGCGCAGCCCTATGGTGTCGAGGAAGTGCCACTCCTGCTTTGGGCTGGACGACCGGCTCGGATAGCGGCCGCGCTCAGGGACCACCCCCTGCGCACCTCCTATGGTGTCGGAAAAGTGTCACTCCTGCGATGCCCTGGACGACCGGCTCGGATAGCGGCCGCGCTCAGGGACCATCTCGTGCGCACCCCTACGGTGTCGGGAAGGTGCCACTCTTGTTCTGCCCTGGACGACCGGCTCGGATAGCGGCCGCGCTCAGGCCCACCTCCTTCGCACCCCCTACGGTGTCGAGAAAGTGCTATCCTGCCTTGCCCTGGACAACAGGCTCGGATAGCGGCCGCGCTCAGGAACCACCCCTTGCGCATCTCCTATGGTGTCCGAAAAGTGCCATTCCTGCTATGCCCTGGACGGCGGGCTCGGATAGCGGCCGCGCTCAAGGACCACCCCCTGCGCACCCTCTACGGTGTCGGGAAAATGCCATTCCGGCCATGCCCTGGACGACCGGCTCGGATAGCGGCCGCGCTCAGGGACCACGTCCTGGGCAGCCCCTATGGTGTCGAGAAAGTGCCACTCCTGCTTTGGGCTGGACGACCGGCTCGGATAGCGGCCGCGCTCAGGGACCACCTCTTGCGCACCCCCTATGGTGTCGAGGAGGTGCCACTCCTGCTTTGGGCTGGACAACTGGTTTGGATAGCGGCCGCGCTCAGGGACCACCCCCTGCGCACCTCCTGTGGTGTCCGGAAAGCTGTGCCCTGGACGACCAGCTCGGATAGCGGCCGCTCTCAGGGACCATCTCCTGCGCACCCCCTACGGTGTCGAGGAAGTGCCACTCCTGCTTTGCCTTGGACAACCGGCTCGGATAGCGGCCGCGCTCAGGGACCACCCCCTGCGCAGCTCCTATGGTGTCGGGAAAGTGCCGCTCCTGCTATGCCCTGGACGACCGGCTCGGATAGCGGCCGCGCTCAGGGCCCACCTCTTTCGCACCCCCTACGGTGTCGAGAAAGTGCCACTCCTGCCTTGCCCTGGACAACAGGCTCGGATAGCGGCCGCGCTCAGGGACCACCCCCTGCGCCTTTCCGATGGTGTCGGAAAAGTGCCACTCCTGCTATGCCCTGGACGACGGGCTCGGATAGTCGCGGCCATGCCGAAAATCCCCCCAAACACATTGTGATTGCGAAGGCCTGACGGCCGGTGCCGCCGACCCTGTTCGCAATGCGCAGCAAGAGGCACGGGCTGCGGGATGGTTTGGGGGAGCGGGGAGAAGGACGAGAAGGTGGGGGAGGGAGGTGTCGTATCTGACCCGGGACTTCCCCGGGACTCCCCCGGGACCCCCCCCGGGACCTCCTCTCCCCCCCCCGTCGGGGAAGGGAAAGGGAAGGGGCTTCCCTTCGACTCAATGACGACGTTGCTCAAGGTCGGTACGGGGGGGGGGCGTCGTATCTGACTCGGGGGGGGGTCGCTACCCCCCCCCGCTACCCCCCCCCCCCTCCCGGCGGGGGAGGAATGAAAGGGAAGGGGCTTCCCTTCGACTCAATTACGAGGTTGCTCAAGGTCGGCTTGGCTGGAGCCCAGGGGAAGAGGAGTCCCAGGGGGGGGCGTCGTATCTGACCCGGGGGGGGGGTCGCTACCCCCCCCCCCCTCCCGGCGGGGGAGGGATCAAAGGGAAGGGGCTTCCCTTCGACTCAATTACGAGGTTGCTCAAGGTCGGCTTGGCTGGAGCCCAGGGGAAGAGGAGTCCCAGGGGGGGGCGTCGTATCTGACCCGGGGGGGGGGGTCGCTACCCCCCCCCCCCCTCCCGGCGGGGGAGGGATGAAAGGGAAGGGGCTTCCCTTCGACTCAATTACGAGGTTGCTCAAGGTCGGCTTGGCTGGAGCCCAGGGGAAGAGGAGTCCCAGGGGGGGGCGTCGTATCTGACCCGGGGGGGGGGGGTCCCCCCCCCCCTCCCGGCGGGGGAGGGATCAAAGGGAAGGGGCTTCCCTTCGACTCAATTACGAGGTTGCTCAAGGTCGGCTTGGCTGGAGCCCAGGGGAAGAGGAGTCCCAGGGGGGGGCGTCGTATCTGACCCGGGGGGGGGGTCGCTACCCCCCCCCCCCTCCCGGCGGGGGAGGGATCAAAGGGAAGGGGCTTCCCTTCGACTCAATTACGAGGTTGCTCAAGGTCGGCTTGGCTGGAGCCCAGGGGAAGAGGTCTCCCAGGGAAAGGGAAGGACAGAGACGACGAGTACAAAGAATGACGGAGATGACGGCTCGAACGGAAAAGCCCCTCACACACGCCGACAGGGTCGGCGGATTTCAACAATTTCAAAATCGAACTTCAATAATTCATTGGAAATAGTACCACTTGCGCATTGGAAAATTACGAACATCTGTTTGCGCGCGCTTGCATAATCATTCAAAAACCAATGGTTTTTGAACATTCATGTCACGCGGGGCTTCGCGGGCAACTTCTCGCGCGCACGCCGAACTCATTCAACAACTTCCCCGCGAGTGCCAGAAGCACACTTTTTCACGAATCCCCCCGTCGTCGTCGTCGTCATCTTCTCCGTTGTCGTCGTTGTCGTCGTCGTCGTCGTCGTCGTCCCCCTCGTCGTCGTAGCCGTCGTTGTAGTCGTCGTCGCCGTTGTCGTTGTCGTCGATGGGTAATCGCAGTCACGGCTTGAAGAGGTCTTGCGACCAAGTTGCGGGTGGGTGGGTGGGATGTTTGCACGAGCAGTGGAGTGGCCAACTCAATTAAGGGTAAGTCAATTTGCACCACATCAATTGCGCACCATATATGTATACTCCGTTCTAAAAGAGAATAGGATCCACCACCCTCCCGAGGCCGGGGATGACGGCGCCCGCTTTCGTATTGCAATTTACATATGATTCTGACCCATCGTTCATCCGAAATATGAATTCGTACCATCCCAGGCACGCCGATTTTGGCCCCTCCGTCATTTTTTTCCACGTGATAAGTCGGGACCTAGAGATAAACGAGTGTGAGCGTTGCCCCGTGGTAGGCTGTATCGTATGATCGTACGTAGTTGGACATTCAAGTGCAAAACGCCTGGTGGATGATGGAAACATGCCCAACGTCGTTTACGGCCCTGGCCAGCTCGATTGGTGAAGCGCCCCAGGGGTTTTCGCAGGCGCGCTTCAAGCCGGCCCGGCATGTCAAGGACTGCCTCATCTGAGGTTCCGGCCTCCCCGCGCAGATTGCCGGCTGTCCCGTTTCTTGCTGGGCATGCTTCGCGCGTCGTTCGTTCGTTTGTTCGCGATTCGTCTTCTCATCCTCGTCGGGGGCGTTCGAGGGAGAGCACGAGCAGGGAGGTGAAGGAGGAGGACGAAGATGAAAAGGCAGAGTCGGAGGAGGAGGAGGAAATGGAGGAGAACCAGTGTAAACCCAAGGCGCGTCAACGACGTTGCAATGCAACCTCCCTCCTGGTCTCCTGTTCACATGTCCGTGCAATCATTTGTTTTTATGTCAGGAAACGGCTCATTAGACGCTGCCGACATCAACACAATTCCTGGGACATCAACGCCGCGGATCAGCGTGACTGCTGCGTCCTGGCAATCCTACACCGTGGCAGATCGCCGTTCTTCGGACTCCCACGCCGCGAATCAACGCGCCGCACGAGTCCTTCGAACAGTCGCAAGCTTCTAAGACGAATGCGCGCGGCTCTGAGGCGTGAGCCACATTTTGAAAATGAGCATTCTTCTGTCCTTGACAAAGCTGCAACATTTGGAGACGAATGCGCGCGGCGCTTAGGCGGGAACCACATTTTGAAAAGGTGGTGCCCTCCATGTTTGACAGTTCAGCAAATGTTTAGGAAGTATGTGCGGGGCGCTAAGGCGAGAACCGCATTTGGAAAACCACCCGCCCTCCATCCGTCAAGCGATTGCAAACTTAAAGACGAATGTGCGTGGCGCTGGGGTGAAAGCCACATTTTGAAACAAAAACGACCTGCAGCCGTGAAACTGCTGCAAATTTCTAGCTCCCCGAATGTAAGCGGCGAGGAAAGCTTCGGCGAAACGCCCAGCCTGCTCTACCGACACATCTCGGGGTGCGATAGGAATGAATTGGACAAGTGTAACCCGAGTAAGCAATTAAGAACACCCCCCCTCTCCGGCGGAAGTATAACGCATCCGGCACCCTGGAAGTGTTACCCTGGCACCTCGCAACCTGCTTTGAACGCAGACGAGTCTGCCCGCCGAAACAAGCAAACTGCCTGAGACATTCTCGCAAATCTGGTCTCCGTGTGGTTCTGAAACAAGCGCCTCGCCTTCGTCTTCTTATACGTATTATCATTCGTATTCCTATTCTTATTCTAATTCCAATTGGGATACCATCCGAGCCGGGGCGCGGGAATTATTTATTTTCCTTCCATTTGCGCGGTGCTAATTATATCGTTCGGCGACCCCCACCCGCAGTGATTATTGAATTACGGTGTGGTGCTAATGATAAGCCTGGGGGGTTTCTGAAAGGCTTCCTGAGATTAAATCCCCACCGGGGTTTGCCGAGAGCAGGTATTCGTGTATTCTTAGATTCCAGTATATTTCAGGCGCTGTCCTTCATGAGGAGTCCAGCAACTGCTCCTTTTCCCTCCTCTTCGGGGGTCGGGCGGGAGCCCAGTCTGTAATCAAGACCTTTCTATTTCATGTCTCTGCCCGGTTCTCCCAGACGACGGGTACATTCGGGCAGGGGAGAAGTTCGGCGGAGAGAGGGAAGGGGGAAAACGGCAGAGTGCAAGGGTCCGGGGCGGAAAAGGCCAGCAGGGTTGCGCGCGCACGCGCGGAGGCGGGCCAAAGAGCACACGCGGGCTCGGCTCGCGCGGCTCTGCTAGCCCGATCGCTCACGAACACTGCGCCAGGCCCGCTCACTCGTGTGCTGCGCCCTGGGCTGGCTGGGTCGGGCAGCGTGCGCGCGCGTCCAGCTGCAAGCATTACAGTCGGGGCCCTGAAGAAGGAACCCTTTTCGTTGGGGAGGGGCTCCGCGTTCCTTAAGTGTTTCGCAGCTTGCCTCAGGCTTTCCTTATGTTTTCGACAGGAAATCGAAGTTTAACTTGTGGAAAAAAGGGGCCTCGTTCCTTATTTAGGGTTCCTTAGGTCAACGCCCCGACTGTATTCGAAGAGAAACTACATCAACTAGTCTTCGGAGGACCCCAAATGTCCCCACGGATGTCTCGGATAGGCGCTGGGTCCGCCTAGCGGCGCCGCCCCAGGCGCTCTCCGCGCGCCTCGGGAAGGGGTCAGTGCCAATCCAAGAATCCTCGCGGACCTTCAAAAGCTCTTGGTAGTGTCGTTCGGGTCCTTCTCTACGAGCATCCCACGGGTGCCACGAGGAAAGTGTTGACATCGGCCCCAGTGGTCCGCGCCAGGAATTCTGCGACACCGCCGGGGAGACGGTGGTGATCATCAGGCGGACGCTGGCCGCCACGCCATCACAGCTCGGCCGCGGGGCCGTCGTCGCCCATCTTCTGGATGAGTCAGCAGGGGATGGACGAGGGCAGTCGATCGAGGACAGGGGACCGATGGTGGCCTAGTGCACGGCGCAAGCAGTGTCTACGAAGGTGATTTGGGCCGTATGGCGTGGGAGCGAGGGGCATTTACTCGCCCGAACCCGTCACATATATCACATCAGAAACGCGTTGGTTGACTCGGGGCGCACTCTGCCATCGGGTTTCTTGTCTCAGCATTCGTGGTAGGAAAGTAGTCATCTTCCACTCGCTGTTGTTATTCTATCAATATCCTGGACGGTGGCGCACCGGGCCCCCGACCGCAAATGTGGGGCCCAGGGGCCCGAGAGGGCCCCAAGAATCGCCAAAGGCGAAGATGCTGTCCCGAACTGCTTCCAGATGGCCCCGAGAGGCCCACGAGACGGTCCACGGGGCCCGTCGGTTTTTCGTACTCGTAGCGGTGCTCCCGTGCTCTCGGCGGGCCAAGACGGTAGGAGAAGCGCCGCAAGCCACCGCAGCACGTCCCAGAGAAGGCCTCGGAGGGACCCAAGGCGGCCCGAGAGGAGACCAAGCTGGCTGAAGAGGGCCGCCAGACGGCACCTGAGAAGGGCCAGAGAGAGGGAGCACGGACGAGCACTGTCGAGGTCTCCTCCCCAAGGTGCTCCCAGAGCGCGTCAGGATGCCCAAGATCAGAGGAGGAACAGGTACCCATACTTCTACCCTTCGGCCGTTTTCCCCTTTTTGGGCCTCCTCGGAGGATCTCGTCGCCACCGCTGGATTCGCCTCGAAATTCTCGTCAGAACGCACCCATGGCGAGGCCCGGGGAGTAGCGGTATCGGTACCTTCTGGTTTCTCCACAAGGGAGGCCCAAGGGAGGACCCGAGAAGCCTCCCGAGGTGACCTTGAGGCGAGTCTAGAGGAGGATCTCTCTCTCTCTCTCTCTCTCTCTCTATATATATATATACATGTGTATATATATGGTTTTTGTAGGTTTTCGTTGCTCGACTGTCCACGCTTCCAGCGCGCAATCGGCCCAAGAGTCGTTGTAAACTGCCGCAGAGCGTCCCAAAGAAGGCCATGGACGGCGGCCCGAGAGGAGACCAAGACAGCTCAAGGGGGCTCCCAGCCAGCCCCAAGAAGGACCAATAGGGGGCCACACGCGAACCCTACCCCTACCCCCCACGACTTTGAGGGGGAGGGTGGCGTTCACTTCGTTCGGGAGAGCTCTCGAGCGAAGTGAACCCCAGCCTCCCCCTCAGAAGTCGTGGGGGGTAGGGGTAGGGTTCGCATGTGGCCCCCTAGCCAAAGAGAGGGAACGCGAACGAACGCTCGAAGGTCACCTGCCCAAGAAGCCTCCGGCTGGCCCCAAGAAGTCCAAGAGATGCTCCTGGAAGCCCTGCTGCAAAGTGGGCCGCACGACGCCCCCAGGATGCCAAAACTGTTTATTTGCAATGGGCTTTCGGTGGGTTTTCGCTGTGTTGGCTTTTTCATGTTTTCGACGAGACAAAGACGGCCCAACAGTGCGTCCCAAACAAGGCCCTGTAGGGCCCCTAGGCGGCCCGAGAGGAGACCAAAACGGTTCAAGAGCGCCCCCAGACGACCCCAAGAAGGGCCAAAGAGACGGAGCGCGACCTCGTAGCCCCAAAATTGGTACGATAGTCTACCCGGCCGGTCCACCACACCCCGAGAGTGCGGAAGATGCCTTGCGAACGGCTCGGCGGAGGGCCAATCCAGAAAACTCGGCAGCCGACCTGGTCAGGGCGGCTTGCCGCGGTCGCGCCAGCTGGACGTGCGATTCTAGCCCGGGGAGAGCAGGGGCATCTTCGGCCTCGTCGAGCGCGACCGCCAGGACGTCGACGGTCTGACGAGGACCGTCACTCTGAACGTCGGGAGCAGACACGGAGTTGAGCTACCAGCTGAGGTCCCTCTCATCGAGTGGATTGTTCGGCATGCTGCGTGGCTCATTGACATGTTCTGGATCGTACCTGGTGCTGGAGTCGCGCCGTTCGAACTCCGGTATGGAAGACAGCATCACAGTCCGATGGTTCATTCGCAGAGACAGTCACGTGGAAGGAGCCTGGATCTAACGCCCTCAAGCTGCGCGAGAATTTCGGCCAGGGCATGCGGGCTGGCAGGAGGGAGGCCGGCAACTGCCATCTGATTCTCACGAGAAAAGGATCGTCCGAGGCTCGGGCCATCCGACGCCCACCGCCGAGCGAACGTCACGATGTTCCACTGCAGCTGGCATCGATGGGGGCGTCTGCGGCAGGATTCGACCGCCCGACGAAGGGGCCAGGCCACCCGCTGCAGAGGTATTCGGCCAGCCAGCAGCGCCACATGCACCCGCGGCGCAGGGTTAAGCTCGACCAGATCAACAAGTGCAACCAGTTCATGTAGATCAGCCAGCACCTGTTATCCGGTCAGGTGGGATATATCAGTTTGGAGGCCATGCGAAGGACGCGAACGCGGGGGAGCCGTGGAAAGGGGCGCAGGCGGAAAGCGATATCGAGGACAGTAACCCCCTCGAGGCACCGCCGAAGAGAACCAGACGCAGACCAGTCACGCGTGTGCTACCGCTGCTGACGAGCAAGGAGTTCACCCCTGGTTGCTCGGGATGTCTCGACACCTCCCACAGACGCGGCCAATTCTGCAAGGAGAGGAACGCGTGCTATTTCGAGCAAATGGAGATCGATAGGCTGGCAGCGAAGGCTCGGCGCGACGAGGAGACATGACTGTTCCGCAGCATCGAAAGATCAGAGATGGCGCTAGAAAGGTTCAGCCAGGAACCAGCGCAGCCGCTGCAAGCTCTTGTTCGCGGTCAAGTTAATGGACTGACCCGCAGCATCCGCCGCCAGGCGATGCGGACGCCACGCGTGCAAGTCACATTCTCATTTTGGAGGCGAATGGGATCTTCGACGCAACTCGCCACCCCGAATACTTCACGAAGAACTCCATCCAGGAAAGCTTTACAAAGCACCAAACCGCCTGCCACGTCAACGAGGAGGGGCATTTCACGAATTGCTTGCTGGACGACCAGGACGAGGTCAATGTCGGCGACCGCGCGGACTACGACGAGGACGATGGCGAGGCTTTGGGATCCGGGCCAGGTCAAAGATGGCATCCCAAAAGAGCTCGACATGACGCGCGACCTGGACGTCGGCGAACCCGTCAGGAGTGGCGAGATAATCCAGGGCGCGAAGATATGGACGACGCGCTGGCGGTGTTAGAGCGCGATTATTTGTTCGCCAGTGCAAGTGGATCGCAGGCAAGTCGGACGACAATTCCGGTCTTGCGCCACGCGCCGATGGCGTGCGACTGCTCGTGGCCTTTGGGCTAGTTGCGAGCGCGGACTTCATCGCCGGGGATTTCTGTCGCGTTCGCGCGCGCTGAGTTGGGCGAGGGTGTCTACGCGAGGCTGCCGCCAGAGATGGGATTGCCGGTGGGCGCGGCGCAGCGCGTGATTGAGGAAAGCGCCCAACTGATTGCAGAAGGCCAGCAACTTGTTCAGCGCGAGAGTGCAGCGCGCATTTAAAGAGGAGCTCGGGTGTTGCGCAGCGCGGTCAAACCCAGTCATCCAGCGCAACGAGATGAGCGGCGTCAGGGCGGCAGTTCATGTGGGCACCCCCCTGGGCATCGGCCTGGAGAAGCAGGCGTTCTCCCTCTTCGACGAGTTAGGGAAGCGCTTGAAGCTCAGAGCCAGTGTCAAATTTAGACCAGAGATCACATGCGCTGTCTTGGGATGCTCGCATCTACGCTTTGCAGATGCTGTCGTCGAGATGCAGAAGAACTACTTCGATAATACCCTGAGGGCCATGGGCGTGGAGAGGCGCGCCCAGGAGGTCGCCGCGCCAGTCCAAGGAGCGATTCAGCACGACCACCCAGGACATCGCGCCCCTGGATAAAGAATGGCTTCATAAGTTCCGGCAGGGCGTGGGAGAACCACAGTGCGAAGTTGATGAGTGGTTCGACTGCCCTTGCGAGTTGAAGCCTTGCTGGCGACGTCTTCACGGACTGCGAGCAGTGGGCATGTCACGGTTCAAGCGCATGTCGAGGTGCGGCAAGGATACTCTGGACGACGTCACCACGCTGAGAGCAAGGACACAAGTGACCTTGAGCGGCTCGCTGGCACCCGGGACTCGGACTGGGCTGGCGACCCTGAGTCCAGGAAGGGCTCCGGCGCGGGTGCGTCATGTTACCGCCTTGTTTGTAATATCCCCTTGCGCAGGAGGTCGGAGCAGCGTCGTCGCCAACAGCAGAGTTTTACGCAATGTGTTTTTTGATAGGAGACATCTTGTACATCTCATCCATTCTCGAGGACCTCGGGCACCCCTTCAAAAACGTGATCGAGACCGACGGCAGCCCTGGAGAGTCCATCGCACTTCGCCGTGGGTTTGGAACAGTGCGACACTTGGACGTTCGTGTTGTGTGGATTTAACGAGTGGTAGCCATGCGTGCAGTCCAAATCCAGAAGATACCATGCGCCGAGAACCAGGCAGACGTCGGCACGAAGCAGCTGGTCTTGAGGACCCACAGCGCCACTTCACAGTCTGGGCATGCGCTGACTTGACGCGGTGGGGAAACAGGTTCACTGCATTCTCTTGGCGCGAAGCACAGACGTGTTCACTATCAGGAGGCTGGCGTTCTATCCCGTGTATGTTGCTCGTTTCCAAGATGGCAGGCGCTAGGAGCGCGGACGCCTCATCAATGAACCCAGTCACTGTGGCCAACTTCGATTATTTCTACGCATGGGTACGTCTGGATTTGCGAGTCTTGTCACCACGATGGTTGCTCGGTGTATCTTTTCACGGCAGATTGATTTCTACATTGCGTATTTCGCTCAATCACTTCAGTTTCACGGGCCTCGGTGAAATTTCCGCAGTACTGAAGATCTCGACTCCCTTAGCCGCGAAGGCTCGGTGTCAGAGCGTTTCCCATGATGCAGACTTGGCGGCAAGAAGCAGGACCCGTGTAGTAGAGCAGTCTTGTCAGGGTAGATAACACGCACAGGGTAGACAGAAAAACCAATTATTATCGAGACGTGTTTTGAATTCATGCAGAATGTATCATCAAACTGAATGGGATAGATGACGGGGGAAGCCTTCTAGGGCTAGCGTTCCCCGAGGAACAAAACAGTAGAGAAGTAACAACCCCGCGAAGTGGTATGATATGTTTTTTTCCCGAGTTTAGAGCGAGATATTTCCGTATCCTTATGTTCGATCCCCGCCAGCAACAATATCCATCAGTTTAGGGTTGTCTGCAGGCCTTTTGGGCGTCTTGAATCGATCTTTCTGCGGTTCGGGGCCTCTTGGACCGTCTAGGGGGCGTCTGAGGCGCTAGGACTCCCAGGAGCCGCCGCTCGCGCGCGAATTAGAACATGTAAACGTGCAGCCGGCGATTTTAGCACGGCCTTGGTCCGTTTATCTGGCCAGTTTCATATTTGTCCAGGAGGAGAATGAGCGAGGACTGTGGAGGATGGAGACGTATCAGGTGGGTAGGACGATGCTCGAAGAGGCGAGGGGGCGAGGATGAGGAGGACGAGTAAGGAGGAGGGTGTAAAGGAGGACGAGGTGCAGTTGGGGTAGAGGCAGTAGTGGAGGATATCCGAGGATCCTCAGGAGTTGAGTTAGTTCAGTGTGCGTGTTGCCCCGTTCGGCCTGCGCTGGCCATCGTAGGACCACCTGCATCGTGTTGGAAGGCGCTGGTAAACAAGCACGCGCTTGCGCTTAGACAAGTTCTGAGGATGATCGAGATGATGGAGAACAGGAGGCGGACGAGGAGGGAAGAGGATACCTCGAGGAACTCAGGGTGGAAGAGAAGTGTGCCAAACGAAACAGGATAGTCGAGAATGGGATGGGCCAGAAAAGGATGGATGAATGTGGCAGGAGCGTGAGGGAAGAGGATGAGGAGTCCGAGGAAGGCGGTCAAGGGGAGGGCGAGGACGTGGATGTGGATGATCGCGGCGGCCCGAGAGTCGGCCCGCGGATCGGGGGTTGGTGAGCCGCTCAGCTTCGGTCTTAGGGCATGGGAGGCTCCAGAGTCCACACACGAGCGCCGTCGCAGCTCGGAGTCGAGCTCGATGCATCGTTTGTTTTGCGTGTCTGCGCTACGCCCGAGTTTTCTGCAGGGGCGCCGAGGGCAACAACAGCAACGTGATCAACGGCGAGTACGCGCTCGTTGGCAGCTACAATGGGAAGGGGCTGTTCCAGAAGCTGGATCGCCCTCGCCTCTCATCCATCCTGTGGTATATTCAATTTCGCTTCTAGTGTGCTCTTTCCCTCTTCCTGTCCCTTCTATTTCCTACTCTCTCTCTCTCTCTCTCTCTCTCTCTCTCTCTCTCTCATCATCATCATCATCATCAGCAGCATCAGCATCAGCATCATCATCATCATCATCATCAAGATCAGCATCACCACCATCACCATCACCATCACCATCATCGTCATCATCATCATCATTACCATCACCACCATCATCATCATCATCATCATCATCATCATCGTCGTCGTCGTCGTCGTCGTCGTCATCATAACCATCATCATCACCACCATCACGATCACCAGCACCACCACCATCATCATCATCCTCATCATCATCACCATCATCATCATAATCATCACCATCATCACCATCACCATCATCACCACCATCACCGCCGCCACCACCATCATCATCATCATCATCATCATCGTCGTCATCATCAGCAGCATCCTTATCACCGTCATCATCATCACAATCACCATCCATCACCATCACCACCACCATCATCTCATCACCACCTTCACCATCACCACCATTATCATCATCATAATCAGCATCATCATCAGTATCATCATCATTCTCGTCATCACCATCATCATCATCATCACCATCATTATCATCACCACCATCATCATCATCACCGTCAGTATTATCACCGCCACCCTCATCACGATCATCATCACCATCATCTTAAACCTTACCGCAACGATTTCCATCATCAGCATCATCAACATCAGCACACCGATCATCATCATCACCATCATCATCACCATCATCATCATCATCATCATCATCATCATCATCATCATTCTCAGTATCAAAATTATCATCAGCATATATCAGCAGCACCATCATCATCACCATCACCATTATCTCCATCATTACCAGTACCACCACCGACAGCACCATTCTCATCATTCGCAGCATCACCGTCATTATCATCACCAGCATCACCAGCAGCACAATCATCCTCGCTGTCCGTTTTCCCTGCTCTTCATCTGGTGCTTTCATTATCCTCAGTCTCTCGTTCCAAATCCTTCTGCTTCCTCTCCTACTCCCTCCTCCCCGCTGCGTCGTTTTCTCTCCTCCCTCATCCTCATCTCTCCTTTACTCCTTGATCTCTCCGCCGCCTTCACCCAGCATCCTGCCCCACAGTGGTAGGAGGCCCAGCTTGAAAAAAAACGAGATCCACAATGGTTTCTGTTGCAGGCAGCGACATTTTGAGCCCAGACGCCAAGAGCCTCGGGGATGCCCCCGAGGCTCGCCCAAGAAGTCCCAAGGGACCACCAGGAGACCCCCACCAAAAACCGAATAGATCACTCCCCCAGAAACCCCCAAGAGCACTCTAATAGCGTCCCCCTGTGGCATCCAAAGAGACTCCCAGCATGGTTATCCCAGGCCGTTATGAGATCTCGGGCGTCCCACCATAGGCTGCCCTGGGTCCTCCACGAGGCTGCCTTGCGCGCCTTCCTGGGGCCTTCCTGGGCGCTTTCCAGAAAACAGCAGGGGGCAATCGCCCTGCACGCACAACTATGGCGCGAAGTCGTGCTGGACGTCGCCTCCATCAGAAGAGTGAGCCGCGTCATCTGTCTGGTACCGTGGTCGTGCAACATCTTAAGGCTTCCCAGCAAGGCACATACTTTGGCAGCCCTTGGATGGTTTGAGCTGCCTCATATCATTGGCCCCAAGGGTTTCAAATGGACCTCCAAAACACCTCCGAGACAGTCCGAGGGGCCCTCCAGACGCCCAGAATATCTTCAAGACCGTGAAAGGCGGTCCACACCCCACGAGCCTCCCGAAGCCTCCCAGATTTTACCTTCGGGCAGCTGCTCGGTGCATCTGCTCAGAGCAGCACTATATGTTAGCGCTGCTTAATCAGCGACTCCTGAAACGTCCATCAGGGAGTACGCTCCCAGATGGTGATCCTTGCGGGATGATGTCCATCCTCATCCAGTCCAGTAAGTTGACTTGGACTGCGCTAGAACCTACGCGCCCGCGAAGCGTGCGCGCGAGGTCCTAGTGTGTGTATATATACACATAAATATGTGGAGAGAGACATAAAGAGAGAGAGAGAGAGAGAGAGAGAGAGAGCGAAAAAAAAAACATTGAACACAACAACACACAACAAAAGAAGACACAGCGCGAAGGAGGGAGGGACGGCCTATGGAGAAGGAGGGATGGAAGGAGGGATAGGTAGGGAGGGGGAGGGAGGTGGAGGGTGGCGGAGGATGAGGCAGGGCAGGGGAGGGAGGGGGTGGACAAGAGCGAGGGGGCTAGACAAGTTAGGTGCGCTCGCATCATATCTGACGTCCTACCCCTCCCTCCCATCTCTTACCATGGCGTAGATATCCTCTCTATTCGCACAGTCGGATGTCGTAGCATGGCATAACACGACACGGCATAGCATGGTGTTGAAGATCAACGCGTAGCATGACACAGCATGGCGTGGCGACGCCCCAAAGTTGGGGATGGGGGCTTCTGCGGCCCAAAAAATAAACGAATCGGCACCGAATGTGTAATCACTTCCGAAGGTTTTTTCGGGGGGCCATTTTCTAGATTGTGGGGCCTATTTGGAAGGACCGAAAACCATGCCGTGGCATGGCACTGGAAATATTGACGCGCAGAAATGAGGCCAGCGCTGCAGCGGGAGCACGATTCGGAACGAGCGGACACGCGGAAGTGAGGACAGCGTCGCAGCGGGAGCACGATTCGGAACGAGCGGAAGCCCGAAAATGAAGCCAGCGCTTCAGCGGGAGCAATATTTTGAAAACAAGCCCAGGCGAAAATCCAACTCCTGGGAACCCCGTGTGCAAAAAAATGTACGCGAAGGGGAGGGGGGCCGGACATCTCCGGACGTCATCCGGGGAGAAAGGAGAGCAGTATTCATGTCGTGTATGTGTAGATGGCGGATTGAGGGAGGCAGGGGGGACGGGGGGGTAGGGGACGGAAGGGGACGGAAGGGTAGGGGACGGCAGGGGACGGAAGGGAGCGTGTAGGGGGCGTGTAGGGTGGACGGGGGGGCAGGGGACGGAAGGGTAGGACGGCATGGCCAGAGGGAACGACAGCGCTCCCGCCCGCAGGACCGCGGGGCGACGCACCACGAGGCCGCCGCCGCCGCTCCCCTCTTATCTCTGAGGCTCGGCGGCGCCAGCCCGCTCTGGGACGCTCGAGGAGGAGGGGGAGGAGGAGGAGGAGGAGGAGGAGGAGGAGGAGGAGGAGGAGGGCGGAGGAGGGCGGAGGAGGGCGGAGGAGGAGGAGGAGGAGGAGGAGGAGGGGCGAGGAGAGGAGGAGGAGGGAGGAGGAGGAGGAGGAGGAGGAGGAGGAGGAAAGGGAGGAGAGGAGGAGGAGGGAGGAGGGAGGAGGAGGAGGGAGGGAGGAGGGAGGAGGAGGAGGGAGGAGGGACCGTAGCCATTTTGGCTCAAGGGGCCTTCTCCTGAGCTTCCAACCTCGCTCGAGCAGTTGAGGCGTGTTGTTCTGAAAACCTTTGAGGCTCACTGGCCTGGGGTTCGCGACCTCAAGCAGCTTTCGTTTCACGATTACTCTCTCCCCACGGCCGCGATTGGGAAACCACAAACAGGGGTATTTTGCCTGCTCTCACGCTTATTGTGGCTATCGTTGGAACTGGCGTAAGCACACACCATGTTGGCAATGTGGGGGAGCGCTTCGCCCCGCAGCTAAGGAGTGGCCCAAACAAGCTTCAGGTGCCTGGGCATACGGCCCGCCAGCCCCGCCCGCCCCACCAAGTGGGAGTCCGTTCGCGATGGGGGAGGGGCACGCATGGGAGCTGCGCCAGGGACGTGGCATCCAGGGGCACCAGGAGGTGGCGCAGCAGCTCTCCCAGCAACGTCACCCTTCGTGCCGACCACGCAGCAGTTGCTCCAGGCCCTCAAGCGGCATCCAGAAGCAGGAGCGGATCTACAAGCACTTGAGGCAAAGGCAGCAGTGGAGCCACTAGCAGCAGCAAAACATCACCTACGTCCAGAATTGCAGCGAGAGCATGCTCTCAATCAAGCTAGGGTCAAATCGCGTAACGCAGCAGAAGCACTCGGTCGGGCACCCAACTACGAAGCATACTGTCGATAATATTTGGCCAGGGCGGAGGCGGACACGAGGGAAAAAGGCAAAGTTTGCAGCGGAAGCCGCAGCAAACACCAAGCTCTTCTTCGTGCGAATGTTGACCCAGTAGCTATCCAGCCCTCGGCCGCCCCAATCAACCTCTCCAAATTGCTCGCAGCTACACAGGAAGATGAGCGGTTGCAGATCCTCAATTTAGAGGACGGCGCCAGCTTCGACACCACGGACCTCGAATTATCAAATGAAGGGTTGTCAACGTGGAAGGCATAAATATTGGTTGGCAAAACAAGTATCCAGCATCACCGTGGCGGCAGTTTGACCTTCTGCACAGACTCTTTTAGCGAGGAAGAAGCAGTTCGAATAATGCCAAGCCAGGGTGGCCACTAAGCGTCGTCGTACTGATGCAGCAGGAGAAGCACGTGCAGGCGGAGAAGATGCACCCGCTCAGGCAGCTCCTGGGCGCGCACCTGAAGGTAGTGGCACGGCATCGTCGGCGGCAGATTCACCATCGTCTCAAGCGTCTCAGGCGGCAACGGAGCCTGATACCATCACCGTCACCGAGAAACATATCAAGGCCATCATGGAGGCGGCCAAGTCCAAGTTTGCACAAGCTCATCAGGATGATGAGCATTTTTGACAGGCCACCAAGCGTCTCATGCTCGGCCACGCCGCGGCGCTGGGCAGGTGTATAGCTTCCACTTCGCCAACTACACGAAGTGGAAGCGCGGCAGAGGCAGCAGAGCACGCGCAATCTGCTCTGCTCCACATGGGGGCAAAACTCACCTAAGAGGAGGCCCTGTCCTCCAGGAACAGAGGACACTCAAGCGAGCGGGATGGATTTCCACCTCGTCCCCTGCGGCCCCGACGGCCAAAGAAGGGGCCCT